CAGAAGGCTATTGGGGGTTAGTGGACCCTAGATTGATGGAGTTGAACTTCTGTAATAATTAAACTAAGACAGAATCAAGTGATTAAGGGCTTGAGGCTTTGTGAGGAGCCTAAAGGCGTAAAATGTTAAGGAAAAACGTAGTCTTTATGTTTATGCTTATGAGCTATGGTTATTAATATGATTGCCGGTCCCAAAACAGATTGTGATACTGCTGTGTGTGGACCTTGAACTGTGTGGACTCTTGGCATTGAATAGTTAGCTTGCGAGGGAAGCTTTCATGTCCTCGGTTTAGCCACTGTTGGTTCCACCATTTTCCCATGGGAAGTTGGTTGTATGCATGATGTGTTTGCATGTACTATTTTTCTGAAATGCTAATGAGCTGTTAAGTGTAATTGCTTATGATATGTATGTGGTGTTACGTCGACGGGAGGCCAAGGGGCGATCCTGTGGGCGGGTACAGTGAATGGCTACTACTGTGTGGGTTTAGATGGATTCCTGCACTTCTCTGATCAGTAGAAATGTTATAACACACATGACATGATTATATGTTGTATTGCACTATTTTGAGAACTTATACTGTTAAACTGGCTTTCGAACTTATATTGCACATGTAAGTGAGCTTGGGGTGGGAGATCCTTGAGGACCCCTTGTCTTACTGAGATTTCTGTTTAGAGATCTCACCCCACGTTTGGGGAACATATTTCAGGTTTAGGTAATGCGAGGGTTGATTCCTCTAGCGGCAGGAGGCCGAAGCTGAGTTAGATTATGCTGTTATCATGCTATTATGTTGTATTCTGACATGATGGACTTGGATGTTGTTTATGTTTTCTGTCATTTATGATTATCGAGTTGAGACTATTGTTGGAGCTTGTTGCCTTATTTGGTGAGCATGGGGTTTATCCATGCCGCTTTGATGTTAGTACCTTTATCTGTGTTGTATAAACTATTAGGTTGTCCGGTGTACGTGTTGTAGTTCCGTGACTAGAGACAAACTTATGATATTTAATTAATGAGGTATTTCAGTTAGATGTCTTTGTAATATATATACATGCGATGTTTTATGAAAATGATTAAGTAACCAAGTTGGTAATGATAATGACGTCATAATTGAAAAGAAAAAGATATTCTGCATTTTTTAAATTAAGTGTGGCTTAATACGATGACATGTTAACAAACCGGGTTAACACGGGGCGTTACAGCTCTCGTCTTGCAGACTAGGTGGAGGTGGAGGTAGTGGTGGAGGGAACTGACCAACAGCAGGACCAACCCTTTTCTCCTCCAACATGACCCTCATCATGGTCAAGTTCGCTAGGCAGTTCACCTCCAAAACATCCTCAGTGGCTTTCCTGTTCGCCTATCTGACGGCCTCCAGTATAGCCTGGTTTGCCATTCTCATGGCCTCCTGGTCGGCTAGTCGAGCCGCCTGCATATCAGCCAATGCAGCCAGGACAGGATCAGGTTGATCCTCGCTAGTGTCTCAGTTCTTCCGAGGTTGCACCATGATTCTGCACAAGTTACACAAAGAATGACTTGATCAGGCCCACGCAATGTGGTCACATATGCATTATCATAGCAAAACTCAACAGAGAGAACACACAGACACGACTCACAACAAATCTCCTAAGTTATTGCAATACATACAGGCTTTTCCCTAGAAAGTGCTTTGATACCATAAAATGTAACACCCCTTGTATACCCGGTTTGTTAACATCTCATCGTATTAAGGCACGCTTAATTAAAAAGGCGGAATTTCTTTTTCTTTTCAATTATGACGTCATTATCCTTACCAAGTTGAATTACTTAATTCATTTCATTTCAAAACATTGTCTGTATGTAAATTGCAAAGGACAGCTAACTGAAATACCTCATAAATTAAATAACTGAAAGTGGGTCTCTAATCACGGAGCTACAACACATAGACCGGGCATATCCTGATAGTTTGTACAACTCAAATAAACTTAAACATCATCAAATCAATGTGGCATGGACAATCCCCATGCTCACCAAATAAACAGCATACTCATCAAGTCTCAATACAAACAGCATGGTAATGGAAAAAGCATAAAACCAAGCAGGTGCATCAGCATAAACAGCAAACATGATAATCAATTAAGCTCCGGCCTCCTGCCTCTAGAGGTCTCGGCCCCTGGGTTACCTGAACCTGAAATAAGCGCCCCAAACGTGGGGTGAGATCTCTAAATAGAAATCTCAGTAAGGCAAGGGGTCCTCAAGGATCTTCCACCCCAAGCTCACTTACATGTGCAATATAAGTTCAAAAACATTTTAACAATATAAGTTCTAAAATAGTGCAATGCAGCAGATAATCATGTCATGTGTGTCAATACTAATCTACTGGCCAGAGAAATGCAGAAATACGTCTATTACCCAAACTAGTAAAAGATGCCACTTGCACCCACCCACGATGTCACCGTATTGCATGACGCCACATACTCAGGCTAACCGTCAAAGTGGAACAACACATACATATTAAAAGCCATTGCACATAAAGCTCAACAATATTTTCAATATCAAAGCATGTAAACACATCATGCATATAAACCATTCCCCCATGGGGTATGGTGGAACCACACAATGGCTAAACCGAGGACACGAAAGCTTACCTTGCAAGCTAGCTATCCAAGCCAAGAGTCCACACACGCTCATGGTCCACACACAGCACAATCACAATCTGTTAGGACCAATAACAACATCAATATTTATACTCTACTAGCATACGATATAAAGACAACGCCTTTCCTTTGTGTTCCAAGTCTTAAGGCTTCTCACAAAGCCACAAGCCCTTAATCCCTTGATTCTGACTTAGTTCAATTATTACAGAAGTCCCACTTCATCAAACTAGGGTCCACAAACCCATAACAACATTCTGTATGAACAGTGCAGTTACTGTTCTCGAAAACCCAGAATATCCGGATATTCGTCGGGGGCATATCCGATATCAATATCCGGATATCTGACTAGCAATATCCGTATATTCATAACCCCATATCCGGATATCCATATCCGGATATTTATAACCCAATATCCGGATATTTCGCGGCAGAACTCAGATTCTGCATTTCGCGAGATATCGATCCAAAGGTTCGACTTTTACCGATTACAGAAGCTTAAACATGCATTTCTAGGTGTGTTTAACGTTACCCAACCTTAAGTTATGATCTTTATCTTGTTACATGCATCAAGGTTCCATTTTTAACCAAAGAAACTCAAGAACAAAGGTGATGATCATACCCCAAGCTCAAAACAGAGGTGGATGATGCTCTTGGAGCTCTCAAGTCAGCTCCAAGGTTCTGTCTCTCAAGGTGCACGAAATTGGTGATCAAAGGTTGGCTCTTTGCATCAAAGATCACTCCTTGGAGCTTCCACAACCAAGGAAATGATGGTCTCTACACTCAACCAAAAAGCCAGCACTCTCCCTTCCCCAGAACAGAGGCACAAACTCAGAATATGGATGACTCAACCCTCTCAAACCACTCTACCAAGTGTTTACAATGAAGAAAGGAGAAGAATCATTGGAAAAGAGGTGACTTGGGAGGTTTTTCATGCAACAAGGACCAAGGAAGAAGGTGACTAGCAAAAAGACACACACAGCAGCGAAAACCCACGCATAAAGGTTGGAGAATCAACCTAAGGTTGTGTGAAAGGGTCTATATATAGGCCACTAAGTTAAAACACAAAATATTAGCACTAATAGCTACACTTAGCATTTTAATCCCAAACTTAGGATTCTGAATCTACTCATTTTTTTAAGATTTATCATATTTTTATTTTATTTTTCGCAGCACCTTTTCGGTATGCGCTTTTCCATAGCTAGTATCAGTTCTGACACCAGTTCTCATTATTTTAACTTGAAACTCATTTTACAAGTCCTATATATATAAAAATTCTAGGAATATTCATGCACTCATTATAATTTTCCTTGATACTTCATCTGTACGCATTTATATCGAGTAGCGGAACTGGTATCTGCACTTTTCGTCAGAAAATCGACTTTAAGCATTATAACCCACTTACCAATATTATTTAAGTCTCGTAATAATTATTAGGGTCAATTATGGAATTATTTCCTAATTTCTCATAATTAACTAATTAACTTCCTAAATTAACGGTGCAAGTTCTTACAATATAAAATTGTGTTATTTTAAGTGAGAGAAAGAAATAAATCATGGAGTAGAAAGAGTGAATAAAAAAAAATAGAGGTTTGAGTCCCACCTCTTTGTGATATTGAAATGACACAAGTTATCTCATTTAAAAGAATAAATATTTTTCCATTTCTTTATTAAAATATTCAATAACCTTTCGGCATCGGAGCACAGTAATTAGATTTCAAATAAAAATGACAATTCTTTTTCAATACAAATATAAAATTAATAGATAACCTAATACAAATTACTCCTGGCTATTTGACCATTTTACCCCTCATTAATTAATTAATAACCATTTTCCCCCTCATTCGAAACTATCTACCAATCTGCCCATCTTTAATCGACTACCTTGCATTTTTAATTGACTAAATGGTTGTTGGGAGATTTAATCGACTAAATCTCCCTACTTAATCGATTAAAAAGTCATACTGACTTGTTTTCCTTTGTTGTCTGTTGGGAGATTTAGTCGACTAAATAAGGAGATTTAGTCGATTAAATCTCCCAACAACCATTTTTTCCTGTTTTGGCATTTAGTCGATTAAAAATGCAAGGTAGTCGATTAAAGAGGAGCAGATTAGTAGATAGTTTCGAATCAGGGACAAAATAATTATTAATTAATTAATAAGAGGCAAAAGGGTAAAAAAACCAATTACTCCTGCCCCTCCTCACTTTATTGAAAAAACGACATTTTTATTGAAAGAAGTTTGTCAAACTTTATTGAACGAAAAAAAAAAATGACAAACTTTATTGAACGAAGAGACAATCGACAGTTCTTCTCAGCAATTATTAATCCCCTCATAATTTTGTTTTTTTTTTTTATTTGCCATATTTGTTTCATCACATAAGCATCTCCGTGTCCTTGTCGTGGAGGTTTTCAAGAGAGGACACGAGATGTTGGTTCGAAAAAGGCAATAGATCCTCGTGGTTGTTGTTGTTGTAACTGAAATCACATATATCTGAGAAACCCGAGTTGAGAAGATCAGGTAAGAAAATCTCTCCAATGTCAAAATCTAAGAGCAAATCCTTTGAGAGTTCTTTTTCAACATTGGGAAATGACAAAACTCCATCATCATACACACCGGTTGAATTATTGGCTGCGTCATCCACAAGCAATGGCTCTGGTTGTGCTTCTATTTCTGCCATAGACATGCTATTCAATTGCATTGATGAGAGAGGGAGTGTATCTACGGACAACAACTTAGAACACTTAGATGCCTTTGGACGGATCACAAAGGAGTCTAGCTTAGACTCATTAGGAGATGATGAGAGTGAGGGACACTGAGGTTTTGTTTTCTGCGTGTTCTTTTCAGTCCGAATGCTTCTGAAGTTACCTTCTTTAACTTTTTTACATAAATTGGTGTTCCAGTAATTCTTTACCTCGTTGTCTGTTCGTCCCGGAAGCCTTCCAGCTATTAGAGACCACCTACCACAATGAGACAGTGCAATTACCACCCATTACTATCGTAATCTTATCAATTCATTTCCAACCACAAAAAACAAAAAAAAAAAATTGTAAAGAGAGAGTGGGGAATGGCTAAAAGGGTAAAGCTACCTGTTTCCGAGGAGCTTGTGAAGTCTGATGATAAGTTCTTGTTCATCCGGGGATATATTGCCTCGCTTAATATCTGGTCTAAGATAATTTAACCATCGAAGTCTGCAACTTTTACCACAACGTTTCAATCCTGCACAAGCCACTAATTTAACATTTAACAACTACATAACAATAACATACGTTGTTGTTTTCATTAAGAGCATGAGACAATATATATAATACCACGTACAAATATAATGAAATTTTATCATGTAAATTCGTAACGTGTATAATTAACCTGCTCTTTGGGGAAGCCTGTTCCATTTTCCATGGCCATGGACATTAATATACTCTAGGAGGATTTTATCTTCCTGAGCTGTCCAGGCACCACGGTTCAACCCCTCCTTTGAACAACAAGGGCTTCTTCCCATCTCTCTCTCCCTTACACAAATCGCAAAGCCTTTAAGCCTTTTATAATTGTATTCTTCCTACGTTTTGGGTTTCACCTCGCTCGCTCTTTAACTCGGGACAGAGTGTGAGTTTTTATACCATTCAATCTTTAGTTGTTAACCTAGCAGACCAGCAAAGACGTTATTCGTACGTTTTACGGTGTGGTCCTCTCCGTCTATTTCACCACGTTTCCAATAAAAAAGTTTATTTGCATGATTATATTTTTGTTGCATGTGCAATTGGGACCAACCATTAGAGGAATGTACAACACATTAATCAGAACCACTCACAACGCTTGGAGGTTTGTTTCAGTTGTCTCGGTGCACATGGTCCCTTCCAAAAATAGTAAAGGACAAGGGAGTGGAAGAAAATTTTAAAGAAGTGAGGGATTGAGAGAAAAACATATTTTTTCAAAATTAAAAAAGAAATCATCCAAAAAAAAAAAAATCACTTTAAAAAATCCCCAACACTTGAGAGTACAATAAAAATTAGATTAAAAAATCCCCAACACTTGAGAGTACCATTAAAATTAGATTAAATTATATTTTTTTAAGGAAAATAATTTCTCATATTATAGAAATTCTTACAACCATTTTTTAATTATGTATTCCTAAAAATATAAAGTTAAAAGAAAACTAATGACAAGTTTAACTATGTACTCCCGATACAGGAGTACATAGTTAAAAAACTTTGCAGAATATATATTAGGGAAAAAAGACTCATTTAAAAGGACACAATTTGTGTCCTTTTAGATGATTTACATAAAGTATGATCGGTCATATTTTCTGTAAATCTGAAAAGCTGTGCTTTTTTTCTCTCTTCTCAGTCATATCTCTGACGTGTAAAGTGAAAAAAGTAACTTTTCAGAATTACACAGAGTATAATCGGTCATTCTTTGTGTAAATCACTAAAAGGAAAAGGACACAACTTATGTCCTTTTGAATGACACACACTAAACTCCATGTATTAACATTTATTACACTTTCCATTTTGATGTGAACGAGTTTCCCGGATGCATTTTTTCAAAGCAGTCAAAATCGAGATTCTACTTAATCACTATTACTTAAATGAGATTTTTTCAATCCAAGTAGGATCGTAACACCAAGACCTCAGACACAATTATATATATAATCATTAGAGAAATATGTTTGTTATTTTAAATGCCATAAAATTATTTTATTCTATTTTTAATTGAAAAATTCTAGATCTTTCTCTTTTCTAGTTATGCTCTTCTATATAAGAGCCCCTTATTGTACAAATTAATTACCTAATCAATGAAATCAATATTTTTCAATTTCTCTCTTTTACCTTCTAATATGATATCAGAGCTTCAGTGACCATGAGGTCACGAGTTCGATCCTCACCGCCCCCTCCCCCCACTTTCAGGTGAAATTAAGACAAGCACAAGGTTGACCAAAAAAATGGGCTTGTGCAGTACAAGGCAGACCAATAATGGACTTGTGCCATATCCATGCTTCAAGCCTAAAGGGCTCTTCCGTGAGGGAGTGTGTTAGAGAATATAATATAAATCATTAAAAAGACCTTCACCCAACACCTTAAGGTTTTGGGTTGAAGTGATTCAGCTTAAATGACCATAAAGTTGCGAGTTCGATCCTCACCGCCCCCACTTTCATGTGGAATTAAGAAAAGCACAAGGAAGACAAATAAAATTGACTTGTGCAATACAAGGCAGACCAAAAATGAGCTTCTATTATATCCACGCTTCAAACCCAAAGGGCTCTTGCGTGAGGGGGTGTGTTAGAGAATAAAATATAAAGTATTAAAAAGACCATCACCTATCATCTTAAGATTTTGAGTTTTGGGTTGAAGTGGTTCTTTAACATTTTAAGAGAGAGATAGACTTTCTCCCCCATGATTTTCATTCCCTGTGTCTATCTTTCTCCTAAAATGACATGATTTATGTCATTTAAAATGATAAACATCAAACCCATAATCACTATTAAAATTCAATTAAACTTTTAAAATTTTATTTGTCCAATGTAATTTTTTCTTTAATATATACGATGTGTTTCTCTGTATATTTATTTTCTGGGGGGCACAAAGATTGGATTAATAAAACTTTCGGTTCCAAAATTTCAACAGCAGAGGTTTTTTTTTTTACTATACGATGCTTGCATATATGTTTTGGGGAATACATTTTTCATGTTAAATGAAATAATTTTATCTCATGCAACACACAAAAAGTTGGAGGAAACCCACTAAAAAAAAGAGAGAGAGAGAAAAAAAAAAGTGTCTTATCTATTTTTTATATTACATAAGATAAGATTATCTCATGCAATTTAAAAAACATATTTTCTATATATTTTTTAGAAGAAAATTGATTTTTGGGATTTATATTATGGGTTTGGTGTTTGTCATTTTAAATGGCATAAGTTATGTCATTTTAGGAGAGAGATAGACATAAAAATAGAAATCATGGGAGAGAGAAAGTATGTGATTTTTTTTAATTTAAATTTAAAAAAAAAATTATTTTGTGTCTATCTCTCTCTTAAAATGACATAATTTTATGTCATTTAAAATAACAAACATTTTGCCCTTATATTATTGTCTCTGACGCGCAGAGAGTATATTTCTTAAATCCCTGATTTTTATGAATAAAGATGTAATACATTCATCGAACATATATTTGTTAGGTAATGTTATATTTACAAATTTTTTATTTATAAACTCTTACAAACTATAATATGTGTTACCAATAAGATATCTTTGAGTGAAATATTACCGGTAAGACATAATATAATCTATAAGTTTGTAAATTTTTATTTTATTTTATCAAAATAACCCTCCTCATATTTGTTATCGACAATAATTCACTGAATAAAATTGTTATTATTGTAGACTGCTGTATAACAGTCATTATAGTTCATTGTTGCTTGAAAATAATTTGATTTGACAAAATGTCTGCCACCCACAATTGTAAACTATAGAAGAACCGATAAGGAACAAAGAACATTTGAAAATCATGTAAAACAATGGTTCCATATTTAACAAATATTATTATAAAATTATGATGTAGAAAAATGAGTGGTTTAACTTATCATTATGATATTATTCACTGTTGGTCATTCTAATATTTTTAAATACAACCGTACAATTTCGAAAAACAAAGAATTGCATTATATAATATATGAGAAATATAAGAATCATGTTGCAGGAATGACACTGTTCATTTCTGCAAGAAGGATCCGACAATGTATTTTATCCTGATTTTAGTTTGACTTTTTTTTTTAAGCATGAGACCCACACTTGATTTATGTGTGCAGGAAAATGATCTTGTCATGTGACATGACAAAAAGCAAACCCATAATATATATTCAACTAAAGGTACTTTGAATATAATAAAGAATAAATATTAATAAAATATAGGCGTACAAAATATTTGATAAAGAAGCAAAAGAACAGAGTAGAGTGAAGCAAAAGAACAGTGCAAAAAACAAGAAAGGGATACAGAATCAACAGAAAAATAGAGACGAAATAATGAACCGGAACGAAGAGGAGCGTGAACAGAAACAAACATAAAGTGCGAACAAACAAACAAAAACCAAGGGTTAGGGCAATAGGGCATGAAGTCTTGAACAAAAGCTTGAAGTGGTGAGTTTTAGAAACCTAGGTGGATATTTTAAAAACCGATTATAAGAAACAGGTTTAGGCCGGGTCTTTCTCGGGTAGATTTTGGTTGCACGGTTAGATCGTTAGATCTCACGATTTTACGAAATATCAGGGCGATTTTAGCGATTTCACTATATTTGTGATTCTGTATGAAAATGAAATCGCGGGACTGTTAAAAAATCATAAAATCGTGCGATTTTGTCAACAATGTGAAAATCATTCAGGCATAGTGAAAGTCCAAAAGTCCAAAATGTGCACTCACGGATAGCATTTGATTTCACGAAAATACAATAATTTCAAAGTAAAGTCACAACACCTATTTTATTTAAAATCATGAAACACCATCCAGCTCACAAAGATTCAAAAGTGAAACCTTGCAACCAAATGGTAGTAGTATGAGAGCTAAGCAGGTGGAGATGAGAGCATGTATTTGAATCTTTTCAATATCACTTTTAAGAGAGGTTTAAAGCCTTAATCCTGAATCCGCTCCGAATTAAATTAATTGCGAAGCAATGAAACGATTGAAATATTAAAAAAAAAAAACTGAAACCTTGCAAAAGTCACCGAATTTGTGTCATTATAACACCTGAACCAAAAAGTGACAGTCATCTTCCGCCTCTAGCCGCCGTTTCTTTTTTTTGGATAACATAGCGGCCGTTTCTGATCCGTTATAAAAACCCAATGGTTTGTTTACATTAAAATGAAATTTGCATTTCGGTCGACTCATTTTTAAATTCATGTTGTCTTGTTATCAAAATTTGATATGAAAAAATTTGTATTGTATTGTGTATCAATCTCAAACATAAAATTAACTCGCATTAATATTGTTACAAATAATTTGTACTGTATCGTGTCAATACAACATTGGTAAAAAAATTATTAAGTATATAATTTATTTGTGTTTTATCGTATCGTGTCAACTCACGTATAATAATTTATATATTTTGAGGTTGACAAATTATTTGTATTGTATCGTGTCAACTCGTGTAATAAACAATACACTTTGAGGTTGACAAATTATTTGTATTGTGTCGTATTAACTCACATAATAAGCGACATACTTTAAGGTTGGTGAATTATTTGTATTGTGTCGAGTGTTTAAACCCGTTTTCAATTTTGTGTCATATTCATATCGAGTGTATTAGTTTTTGTATTAAATTTATATCGTGTGAATCTAAATTGCGTAACCTACTCTTGAGGCATACCACCCATTATAGGCAAACTATGCTATTGACATTTTTCTATGAAACTGTCTTCATTGACATTCGAACTGGACAAAAGATACCGTTTATTTTACAATAGTTAAGTGTAAGTATGAGTGGCAATTCGTATCAGTAGGTCATGTTCGTAT